ACAAAACTTTGAGCAACGATAAGACATGTAAAACAATACTTACATTTCTCACCAGTTGGTGGCTGGGAGGTGGGTTCCAAGGTTTCATTGAGTCCAACGCAGATTTCAGAACCTAATTCAGGAAATCGTTCGCAGTTCAAACTCTCTGGCCATTTAACACCGAAACGTTTCATCACATCTTCACAGCCAAGTCTTGCACTATTACAAAGGGAACGACAGGGCGGGACTGCAGAACCTAACACTGTACAAACTGGCGCGTAAACAGCACAGAGGAAGAGCCCTAAATGCTCCGAGCAGCCGTATTGTACCAAAGAATAAAACTGGTGGACATAAAGAGCGGCCTCGTCTTGTGTTGTGTGATTCAAAAAGTTGGGAAATATTGTAGTATTATAAGGCAAAGAGCGACAAAGAGGTATCGTTAACGGCTCACAGCTGTCCTGTTTCGTTGAGGGAGAAATTGTGGTGGAGATGTGCACCGGGCTGATTTCTTGACATCTGGGTCCCTTAAAATCAGAAGGGCAACTGTGGAGAATAACAGTTTGTTCCTTATTTCTCTTTACCCTGTGTTTAACTGTGTTCCATAGAAAAAACATTTCGCTGAAAGATTAATCGAAGTTATCACAATAGCCAACCAGAGTAAAGGTTATTATCTCAGGGAACCAATCAGGACTCAAAATAAAAGCAAGAAAATGCTCATAGCGCGGGAAAAATTAAGTGACCACGTCGCTAACGGCACTAGATTAAATCTGATTGGCTGAGAGGGTGGCGGGAGTTTTTCGGATTTATCACGATGTGATTTAAAGCAAAATCAAAGCATTATCGTATTAACCGTGACGCTCAACTGAAAATTCTTCTATTCTAAAATTTGGGATTACTTCTAACAAGTACATCTGAGAACGTATCCCCTTGGAAGTTTTTCTTGTTCTCATCGTTAACTGCGTCTGATAGTGGAAATAAGCGATGTGATAACCGAAGTAATCTCAGAGGTTTTAAAGTGTGCGGAAACCTGTCTAGAATAGTATTGATTACTTACTATAAATACCAAAACCTTAAATTGTTTCTGATGCACAGTGTTTGATTTTTCAATTTTTCAAAGAATGCTTGAGTATTTCCTGAGCAGATGAGCTTATTCAATAATGGATCGTGCCAGTCTGTGTTTCAATAAGTCAATAATCTGCTGAAATACCGGCCCCTTAACACTTAAAACATCCCTCTCACCTACATACGGGAAGTGCCCTTGCTTTCTCGATACAAGTGCCCCCATTGAGACACATTCCTTCCTTGCACTTTAAAGCATCTAAGAAAAAAAGTTAAAAATGATATTTTTGTTATATTTTAAGATTCCTTGTAAGAGATTGTCACACCTTAAAACTATAAGATGCAGGGGTATGTGGCCACCACCCGTCCCCCCCACCCGTCCCCCCCACCCGACCTTAAAAATTCTTAAAATTTCTTATAGCCCCCCTGAATAAGACACAACACAGCGCTAGAGTTCGCGCTGCTGCTGGAAGGACCAGCTTCTTGTGTCTTCTATTAACACATTGAGGCCTACAGCGTTGAATCACCTATACCTGATTATATATTATTACCTGAGGACATGCAGGTCTTTTCATCTTGAAGCATCATCAATCCAGGGGGACAGTGACAAGAATAACCTTTTGGATCGAGATCTTTTGGAGCTAGTAAACAGATGTGACTGCAACCTCCGGAATCCACAGAGTCACTGCATGGATTATTGCCTATGCAAAGAAAACACACCTGTAAGCTGTTAAATGGGCTTCAAAGTCACACAGAAAGAAGTACGCTTGGATCAGCATGATTAACACTGAAGGAACCAAACAAACAACATTATGATAACTAAAAATTGAAAAAGAGAGGTGAGAGAGCGGTTAGAACAACAGAGCGACAAACAGTCCAAAGAACATGAAAGATCAAGAGAATTACTTAATAAACGCGTAAATACCTTAACCCTTCGACTCTCAAGATCTCACTAGTATTTCTCCCTACTCTCTGCCATACAATTCTTGTCGTGTTGATTCGGAGAATTTGGTATTGGATCAACTATTTTATAATCCCCAACAAAGAGCCCATTGACTCTACCCCTACTTGATATTTTTCTTTATTCTCATCACTTGTCTGCTTCATATTGTATTGATATTGTAAGGAGAAAGTGTGTCTTGCTCATCGTGGCAAATGGATGAAATGAGGATTGCTTGGGTAGGTGAATGAATGAATGACTGACTGAATAAACAAATTTAATGGACCAAAGAAGACCAAAATAATGCTAACAAATGGAAAAGAAAACGTAAAAAATGACTTAAAAAATACACTGTGTAACGTGCAAACGTCTGTACAAGAAGTCACTCGGTCATATTTAAACACATCGACAAAACACAATTCTGACCTGTTCCCGGCTGCCTTGAAGGATGATATACCACAATTCCCCGCGGTCCGTATAGATATCGTAGCAGGGTCACCGATCTTTTGCCCCCAGACTTGTCGACTTTAAGTATCTTACGCCCTCCTTGTCGCTTTGCTACAAAGATAGAGTCTTGAAATAGTGAAATACCGAAGGTGTACCGAGCACGGCTGCTTCGCAAAGCGACTTTCCGATCTCCACCGTTTAAATCCACGGACTCAATCGTGCCGAATCGTGCATCAGTCCACCAAATTCTATCCTCACTGTAGTCGATTGTAAGTCCATTTGGCCAAATGATATTCTGACTGACGAGAATTTTCCGTGACGCACTCTCTCCATCCATGCTGCATTTTTCAATTTTAGCTGTTTTTCCCCAATCAGACCAGAACATGTAACTAAAAAAAAAATTAATAACTTTGAGCAAGGCTACATGCTTGTCGTACTTAAAGGCCAAAAAGCTTTACAAAAAGGTTTTGGCGGGCGTCAAGTACCTCCTACCCTAAGCAACTGATCCATTTCAACCCACCCCCTCCCCACCCCGAGGGTTAGTTCCCCTGGGCGTTTCGTCCTTCGAAGGATGAGTGTATTAGGTAAAGAGACTACTGACATTTGAGAATACTCATCTAGGTTTCTGTGTATTGAAAACATTTCCTGAAATTACAGCTCGCAAATTACATAGTGTCTAACGCTCGGAAATGTCACTTATAGAATCTATCCACGGTGGCTAATTGACTTTATCAACACATTTGATTAAAAACAAATTATCTCAGAAACTTACCCCCTTTATTCTTAAAATTTTCAGATTTGCCATTTGCAATCTCTGCTCGTCCAATCCGTCTTTAAACATCCATGTTCCTCCTATTTTCATTTTTTTCCATCTTAACGAACTAAAATTTTAAGTTAAGGGTAATTTGTCCGAACGAAAAAATTCCTTGAAATATTTACACAACGACTTAGCGAGTAGAACACTCTTGACACTTTGACCACTACGCGTGACCAGCATCTAATTCCCCCCCTAAAATACCATCAATAAATTCAACATTAACGTCACGAGAATAACTGTTGCTTGTTAAACAAATTCTCCTTGTCATTACCATAGGAAGTGTATAGAGAACAGTATGGAGAATATGCATACTGATGTTAGGGTGTGAAAGATTAAGGAAACAAACACTACGCTTACCCAGCACTGGGGTGTACAACAATCGCCCTTGGGTTTTTTAGTCCTGTATCAATCAGAACCATTCTATGGCCACCATCGAAACCCGCTACTTCGATTTCATCGGTCCCTGTGTCGGTCCAATACAGCTTCTTGTTCATCCAATCGACAGCCAGTCCCTCGGGTGATACAAGACCATCTATCAGCACCTCCGTATTCTCGCCGTTATTAACCGGTGCGCGCTGGATATTGCCTTTGACTACGTCAGTCCAGAAAATAAATCCCGTGTCAAAGTCGAAATCGATGGCTACAGCTGCCATTTGACGTGAGACCAGTGTCTTATGTGCAACTGGGTTAAGCTCAACACGAAGGATATCCTTACGGTTCGCGACGAGGAGGAACTCAGGTGTATCTGACACAGAAAGTTAAAAAATCTTTCAGGGAACCAAAGGATCAGTCAATCAGTGTATCAAGTAATCAATGAATCAGTTAATTCACGATGGTAATAAGACTGAGTGGAGCCTAGTTTGGGCTGTAAACACGAGTACGGTTGGAGACAGAATTGGACGACAGGAGGTGCTGTTACCAATTTAACATCAAAACTATGACAAAATTTGAAAAGGAAACCCGCCATCGATCATATCTTTAAATAATAATAAAAAAGACTACAGATAACTCGGCGAAATGCCCACGCACATGACACTTACACAGGTATAACGCGCAAAATGTCCTATTAGTGCACAAGTTGGGCTGGTGATAACTTTTCACGTCCAAGAATTTTTTTATAGTTTTGATTAGTAAATTAATCAATAAAATGCACTCGTTGAGCCAATCTGCGATATGCTGAAAAACTAATTAACGAGTAACAACTTAAGGTAAATCGATTTTCAATCTGTTCTCTTCCAGTTAGTAATTTGGTGGTCATTTGCGAGCTGAAACACAAGGAACTTCCTGGAGTCCTAGTTTTTAGCCCGTGTAGCACATTGGATTGGCAAATGCTGGACTACAAACAGTTGCTTCTAATCTAAGTCACTGTGAATCGTGCGAAGACAGAGCACGATCGTGTGACGAACCTAAAATAACCATGGTTTGTTTTGCATTTCAAATAAGAGAGTACCATGGCGCTAAACATACGGAAAATTTGTTTTGATTAAGTTCAAATTACAGCAACTTAGGGTGAAGATTGGAGACAAACAAAGAACTTTTGACGCCTTCTGATGAGCACATACGGAACCAATACCAAAACGTAGATAGAATAAACACAGATTAATGTTTTTTTAATGCCTTCAATATGGGCGGCCGTCACCACCAAAAATACAAGGATGTCAAATAGATCAGCAAATACAAAGATGGTGTAAGGATCAGCTGCAGGATAGCATAGCGAATAAAGGAATGGCAATAGTTTAGCCAAATGTGAAAAGGTCTAGTAGCCCATGTTGAGTGCTAAGCTATTCGTAATTGAGCTAGTCCATTTCACAATCTCATGTTCCAACTCAACATGGGCTACTAGACCGTTTCTCATTTGGCTAAACTATTCATGTTTAGGGTGTTCTGTTTCACGAAGGAAAACTAGACTGTCTATAATTTGGCCATGCCATTCCTTTATTCGCTATGCTATCCTGCAGCTGATCCTTACACCATCGTTGTATTTGCTGATCTATTTGACATCCTTGTATTTTTGGTGGTGACGGCCGCCCATACTTCAAGATCCCCAGCTTGCGGGTAGTGTGTCATTTAACCTCTTCATGTTCCAAAAACGTTTGTTGAAGTTAGCTTTGATAACTGATTTGGCAATATCTTATGTCACGCAAGTAACACCATCTAACAACCATATCACACTCGACCCTAAAAGTTATTTGCGCTCGGCTCCTGACTAATGTAATTGTGCTACATGCCATAATACTTAAAACCGTTTCTTGGTAAATCCTCAATTAACGCGAACAAGTTAAAAATGAACAAATGAAAACTCACCCTTGGCTCTCTCCGTTACTGGCGGCTGAGGGGTGGTTTTATCTGGTATAACAACACAGAAGTCCTTACCATCACGGTCTGGAAAGTTATCGCAGTTGAGAGGCTCCGGCCACGTGAAGCCTATGGTCTTCAAAGGGTCCTCACAATCGCGTCTAACACTGTTGCAAAGCGAGCGGCACGGTAGAATAGGAGTCTGTGACAGCGTGCAAATCGGTGCGAACATGGAACAAAGAAAAAAAGTTAAATCATCCGAACAAGCAATCTTCATCAAAGGTGAAAATCGAGAGAGTTCGCGAGACACTCGTTGCTGCATCGTGGGATTCAGTATTGTGCTATTGTACGATAAACCCTGACAGAAAGGAATAGTCAACGGAGAGCATCTTTGTTGACCTCGGCAAGGTATTACCACCAGAATCATTGCCAGAATCACGACCGCGACAAGAAAACGAACAAAACTTGCAGCTTTGAAAATTCCTGCTTTCATTTCGGTTGCATCGGTTGAACTTGCTGGGCAGAAATAACACAATATTCCGTGCAGATCAACGTTTTAAGTATGATTGTTAACCGGATATTGTTGCAATCAAAATAGACACTGAATACGAGCATGCGTGACTTCCTGCTGGTGACCAAGCGTCAAAGCGAGGATTGGGGCCAGACCTCTTTGGGAAAACCCTCACGTAGGAGGCGGTGCGATATATCGAGGATTGGAGTAATTTGTTTACGACTAAGAAAAACCCTCTCTGCTTTCCCGGTTCCTTCTCAACAAGCTGGTAATAAACGCTGTTAAGTATTTGCTAGTTGCCCCCAGAATTGAAAACCCAAAGGGTGAGAAAAGAGTGGTAACATGAAACCTTAATCCTTCAAAGCATAAAAATTCCATTAGATTCGCGCACCGTATCCTCTCTCAAAAGTGCGTTATTAACAGGATATAAGTTAATTCCTGTGTGCAGCGTACTCGTAATCTGGGCAAGTCCGAACCGAGATGACAATTGACCTCATCTAAATTGGGCTGCCCTCCGTGAATTTCCCTTCAAAGTCCGGAAACCGATTACAAAATTCTGCTCTGAAACTTGAGGAGGTGGAAAAATCGATTGACGAACCGTGCCTCAGACACCTCGCGATTCATTTCTCAAAGGAAGGCGCTTGAAAATTAATCTAGCATTAATAGCATATGGAAGTTATCTTAACATTTATTTAATTTAGTAGACCCCTGTCATTATAATTTCCGGTTCTTCATTACAAACCATGACATATAGACAAAATCGGTGTACTAAAGAGGAATAGTTGAACCAAGGCACGTGTTTACAATAAGCTTTCAAGGCGCCTCAAACGTTTCGTCAATGAATTAACTATTTACAATAACACTACATAACTACATCCCAGGAAAAAAAATTATAAAAACTAAGGAACACGAGAGTTGTGATGGGAAATACAACAAAACATGACCCTGACAATGATGGACTTAACCTTAGATAGCCCATGTCGGTGATGCGACACAAACGCACAAAATAAACTACACTTAAAAAGGAGAGATTTGTGCCTATAAGGTAACTAATTTCAGAGGATTATAAGCAACAAACGAAAAAATAAATAAAAAACATTAGATATTCCCTGACAAATACTTGCAAAAGGATTGGTGCTACAAGCGTTTAGCAACAGGTAAACCCTCATTTGCTTAACACCTCGATGGAAGTTGGATATGTTAATAAAACACTTCGCAAGGATGTCCTCATGACACCAAACAAAACCAGTGTCTTTTACAAGAGCTAAATACAAGTTCATTTAATATTAATCGAACAGAACTCAAGTCCACCAGACAAGGGAATGTTAGATATAGGGTCTTTTGGTGATCTTGTGGCTGAATTCCCTTTAGTTTCTTTACGGCTAAAACTGTCTACCACTACAAAGCCTTCTATAAGTAGAGTTCTCCCTACAATAACTCCATACGTTAGAATCCACTTCGAGCCAAAATAAAGAAATTAATAATCAGAGACATTAGTCAGGAGAGTTTGTTTTTATGAACGTTTCTTCTGTGAAGGAGAAGCAGCCATCTCTTGTGACGAGCC